TTAAATCACAAGCAGAAAAAAAGATACTACTTTTTGTTTTAAACTATCAATTCAGTGCCCGTTGAACAAGGGTAGCTGTTAACATTATTAAAGCGACTTTTATTTTATCACATCCTGTGAACTCAAATAATAAAACTGGTCTTCAATCTGAGACCAATCTTCATCTGAGCACGACATTGCGGGGGCAAGAAGTGGGGAGAGTATGTAACATGTCGGGCCTTCACCATCTTTTTCAGACATGATGGTAACAACTGCTAACACTAAGATAGTAGTTGGTATTACTATTCATATTTTTACAGAAAACTGAGCCTCAGGGAAGTTAAATAATTGCTGTTACTCAGCTAGTAAGTGGTGAAGCTAGGATTTGAACCCAGCCAACAGTCTGGCCCCAGGATCTGTACCCTTACCAACATAAAGAGACAATACTTAGCTTTGTTAACTAACTACTCCAACTGCTGTCACTGCTGTTAACAAGAGAAAATGTCACATAGGTGGTTTAAGATTCAGAGTCCAAATTTTATTTTTATTTTATTTTTTGAGACAGAGGGTCTTATTCTGTCACCCAGGCTGAAATGCAATGGTGCAATCTTGGCTCACTGCAGCTTTGGCCTCTTGGGCTCAAGCCACCCATCTATCTCAGGCTCCCAAGTATCTGGGACTACAGGAGCATGGCACCATGCCTGGCTCATTTGTGTGTGTGTGTGTGTTTTGTAGATACAGGGATTTGCCATGTTACCCAGACTGGTCTCGAACTCCCGGGCTCAAGGAATCTGCCTGCTTGCTCTGTTGATAATTATATGAAAAAGGAATCACTTTAAAGTCCAGGTATGTATAAGCACAAATTATCTCACCTGAGTTGTTCAGTTTTCCTAAACTTCTGTTTATTATTATTATTATTATTTTTTCTTTTTGAGACAGAGATTGCTCAAGCAATCTCACCTCCCACAGTGCTGGTATTATAAGCATTCATAACCACACCCAGCCTAAGAGCCTAAATTTTATATTTAAGGAAATGACTATCTTGTTTATTAACTGGTTATATTTACTATAATGTTGATTATTCTTATTATAATTAATTTTTGTTCAAGTGCTGTTAGGAATGGAGTCTAAATGACAGCCTCATTCCCTTAACCACGAATGTGGATTCCTAAATCCTAACTATACTTGTAACAGCCTCCAATAACTAAACAGTATTAAGAGACCTAGACATGTATGACAACAGTAATGCTACATCCGGGGGAAAGAATCTGGGCTGAATGAGAAAGCTTTCATAAGTTGTAAGGTTTAACCACAGAGAGGGAGGGCAAAGAAACTATTAAGTACCTATTAAAACGCTATGCATTGTGCTATGTGTTTTGCACATTATTTCATGTAATCCTTATAACAACTCTGTGATTTAAGTATTATTCCCAATTTAAAGATGAGGCCCATTAAAACAGCAATGAGATACCACAACACAGCTATTAAAGTGGCCAAAATCTAGAACACTGACAATGCCAAATGCTGACAAGGATGTACAGCAACAGAAACACTCATTCATTGCTGGTGGGAATCCAAAATGGTATAGCCGCTTTGAAAAATAGTTTAGCAGTTTCTTACAAAACTAAACACACTCTCACCATATGACCCAGCAATCGCATTCCTTGGTATTTATCTACATAAATTGAAAACTTATGTTCACATAAAAAGCTGCACATGGATGTCCACAACAGCTTTATTCATAATTGCCAAAATTTGGAAGCAACTAAGATGCCAGTAGATTAATGGATGAACAAACTGTGGTAAATGCAGACAATGGGATACTTATTGATTTACTAATTTATTTATGTTATTTGAGACAGAGTCTTGCTCTGTGTCACCCGGACTGGAGTGTAGTGGCATAATCATGGCTCACTGCAGTCTCAACCTACCAGACTCAAGGGATCCTCCGACTTCAGCCTCCTGAGTAGCTGGGATCACAGGTACACACCATCACACCTGTCTACTTTAAAAAAGTTTTTGTAGAGACAGGGTCTCCCTGCTTTGCCCAGGGTTGTCTAGAATATTATTTAGCGCTAAGCATAAATGAGCTATCAAGCCATGAAAGGACATGGAGGAAACTTGAATGCATATTACTAAGTGAAAAACGCCAATCTGAAAAGTCCTGTATGATTCTAACTATATGACATTATGGACAAGGCAAAACTATGGGAACAGTAAAGATGAGTGTTTACCAGGGGTTAGAGGGAAGGGAGCAATGAACAAGCAGAGCACAGAGGATTATTAGGGCAGTGAACATGGTTTCTATGATGCTATGATGGTGGATGCATGTCATTACACATTTGTTCAAACCCATATGTACGTGGAATTGGACATTTGGAACATACATCATCAAGAGTGAACCTTCCTGTAAACTGTGGACTTTGGGTGATAGTGATGTGTCACTGTAGGCCCATTGATTGTAAACAAGCTATTCTGAGGGGAGATGCTGATAAAGAGAGAAACTGCATGTGTGGGGGCAGGGAGCATATAGGAAATCTCTGTACCTTTCTCTCAATTTTGCTGTGAACCTAAAAGAGCTCTAAAAAATAAACTTTACTTTTTAAAAAGCACCCCTCCCAAAAGCATTCACCTCTAAAACAAAATGAGACCCCATAAGTTAGAGAACTTACCAAGTCAGACACCTTCTACTATACCTTACTTTACTTATTAGCAAATATATTTTTGCTTTCCAGGTTTAGCAAGGGATTTAGATTTCCTTTAAGAATGTGGCCGGATTAGAATGTCCATTTTGAATCTTCTAAATTTTCAGGTGATTTTTTTCTTTTCTTTTTACTACAGAGGATTCAAGTGGATGATTACTGCCATAGTTATGGGGCAGAAAGGCAAAATTGCTGTTTTAAAAATAAATAAATAAAATTACTGAAGCTATTTTCTCATTATTGGGAAATTGTTCTGTTTGGGGAGCCTCTTTGAGGAGGTTTTTTTTTTTTTTTGGAGAGAGAAGGTGTCTGTGTTAATCCAGATAAGAGATGTTGAGGTTTAAAATACAAATGCTTCTCTGTATGATAAAGCAAGAGGAGTTTTTAATGTATTTTTGGAAGCACTAGAGGCAGGGGCTTGGGGTTGTAAACACAAGAATGAAGAGATAAAAGGAAGGTTCCTTTAAGGGGATAGTAGCTCTGGGAACACGGTGGCTGGTCAGGATTAGGGCAGAGAGAGACAGAGAGGAGGAAGGGAGCTAAAATACACCCACTCATGCTCGGAAGGACAAATAACTTTGGAAACAGTTGTCTTACAATTTTAAGTTTCTTGTCCTGAGGATTAATTTCCTTCTTGTGATGTCAGAGTCATCAGGAAAAGACCTTTGCGTTGGACGATAATGCTTTGGGAGATGAGCATGTGAAAGTGCATGTCAGAGTGTATAATGGCTAGAGCAGAGTCCGCAGGTCAAGCACAGCAGAAGCAGGACAGGGGGAGTGGGCAGCAGTCAGTGTAAAATGATAAAAGCAAGGCAGCTTAGAAAGTGTATGGTGACTTAGAAGGGAATGGCAACAAAATGCAAGCAGGAGAATATATGACTGACATCTGCATTTGGGTCTCTGCTCTATGCCACTTCCTCGGAGAGTCTTCTTTGATTCCTTCTTTGATGAAAAGTTGACCAACACATGTCAAAATTCATTACGTTATTTGATTTCATCATCAGGTTTATCATCATACTCATCATTTGTTTATTATAAGTCCTCATCACATTAGAATAATGGTTCTTAACTGGGGGTAATTTTGTCCCCCAGGGGACATTTGGCAATGTCTAGAGACAGTTCTGGTTTTTCAAAACTGGGGATGTTGTACTGGTATCTTGTTGGTAGAGGCCAGCAAGGCTGCTCTGTATCCTAGAGTGTGCTGGACAGGACAGCCTCCCACAACCAGGAATTACCTAGCACCAAATGTCAATAGTGTGAAGGTTGAAAAACATTGAATTAGAAGAAAATTTCCTAGAGGAAAAAGGCACCATCTTGTGGTCTAGTATATCCCCAACACTTATGATAGAAACTGGTACATAGTAGGTGCTCAATAAGTATTAATTGAAAGGTTGATCATCATTTAAGTTCTCATTTTTCCAGCTTGAAATAAGAACCAGTTTCTTCTGGACTCATATGCGCTTCCAAATATATGAATGTCTCTTCAATTTGGATGGAGCAATAATATTAAATATATGAAAAAACCTCTTTCCCGTGTATCTAGGCCAGGAGACGTCCCCCCACATAATTTCTCCCTAAAAATTCCTTCCACTTAATCTGTACAGATTTAAACATGGAATTAAGACAATCAGAAGTGTTGTGATAAACTTCTCACTTATTTGAGTTGGGGGTTTGCAAAGAGAGTTCTGCCCACTCTTCGCATCAAATAACTGTACAGAAGAAATCTGTGTCAAGCACATTGACAACCCATCAGAAATGTGCTCGCAGCCTGGGTAATGAGCTCTAATGAGCCTGCAAACTCATCAACCCCCAAAGCCCTCTGACCACAGATCCTGCAGCTATGGGCCAAGGTCATATTTCTTGATTGGCATCAGACTACTCTTCTAAGAACATTATCTCTATTTTAGGCTGACAGACTTTTTTTACTGATGTAAGCAGCAATCTAGCACAATTTGGCAGCATCATGCCTCTTCAACTTTTAAGAAAATTGCAATTAACATTTCAAAATGTTAAAGAAACATGTCTAAAAGTAGTGACCTGGAAGGAAGGAAGAATCCAACAATAGAATACATTCATTCTCGAAACTACCCACAGGTGTTCTCTCATTTATAAAATCAACAGTATAATGAAAAAAATGCATACATTTGATTTTATATTACTTACAGGGAAAAACAACATGGTAGTTTGGATGAAAGATTTTTGGACCAAAGACCAAAGGATTTGACCATGAAGACTGACAAACTGCCCCGGGGAATGGTTAATCCCTATAACAACTAATCAGCTGAGACTGGAACATCATCCAATGCCCCTTTGGGTTACCTGGTTTTCTCGTTGGTCCCACTGACATATCTGCAGAACCTGACTCAATTCTTGCCACTGTTGCTTCAAGTACTTGTCTAACTGTCTTCTCCTGTCTTGTAGAAGTTCAAGAAGGCTGTCAATCTTCAGACAGCTGCTATGAGCTCCCTGAATCAACTCAGGATTCACATTAGGTCCTTCACACTTGAATTTTTCTATGAAGTCAGTGAGTTGTTGACTTTTGTTTAAAAGGGCTAAAGACCGTTCCAAGAGTTCTAGAAGAAAATTAGAAAGAAGAAAGAATAATGATATTAGCAAGCTTTTATACAGCAATATTTGGACTCTTCACAATGTAAAATATATGTAATTTTTATGTTAATAAAAAACAAGTTGTGCTGCAAGGAATTAAAATATGTGGACAGAAACTGCCTACAGTACTTCAAAGAAAAAACTGGTCAAACACCTTAGCCTAGCAATTGTGATAGTGCTAACTGCCAACTGATGGGATGCTTTGTTCAGCAATTGTGTGATTCAGGCAGGGAGTAGAATGAGCGTGGGATTTTGACATTGCTGCAGTTTTCAGCGGTATGATGCTGGGTAAATGTTCTACATTCTAAGGTGATTGGACTAAAGCTGAGGTTTAAAGGCTAGTGCCTGGGATGACCAAACAAAAACTCAATAAATGTGGTGGCCAGGTGCCCAAATGTCAGGGACTACAGCAAAGTGGAAAATACTTGCTAAAAGGGTCAGCTGTCACTCAGTTCTGACGAACTGTTGACATGAAGAATATGGGTTCAGTGTTGATGGAGCTTCCAATTATTAAAAGAGTTTCAAATGCAAATTTTATATGAAAGTTCTGACTTCTAAATCTTTCATAATTCCTATTTTTTAATTAAAAAATCACAGGATAATGAAGCATCGATATCTCCCAAATGGGCTACCAGTATGTGATCTCTGGAGTAAATAGCATTGTAAGTTTGGGTAACATCTTGTAGAATTGAGATGTTAAGCTAGAAATTGAAGAACTACTAAGGGAGAAAGTGTAGAAGAAGAAAGAGTTGAGAATAGCACATTGAGAGGCATCTACACTTGCGGATCAACTGAAGGAGCAGTTGGGGAACTGTCCAGTCTCCATCGGGCAGAAATGAAGGAGTTGTCCATGACATCCCTCTCCTTCAACCCGCCATCATCAAGACCTGTTGATATTACATGATATCTCTGGCATCTGTCTACTTCTTTCTATCCTCACCATGGAAAGCATCATTTGTTGCCTGGATGTACAGTCTTCTCTTAATTGTATCCTCTCTCCAATCCATCTATCAATGCTCCAGACTTTAGCCACAGCCATCTTTTCTAAACATAACATCTCTTTTTCTTTCTTTCTTTCTTTCTTTCTCTTTCTTTCTTTCTTTCTTTCTTTCTTTCTTTTTCTTTCTTTCTTTCCTTTCTCTATCTCCCTCCCTCCCTCCCTCCCTCCCTCTCTTTCTTTCTTTCTTTCTTTCTTTCTTTCTTTCTTTCTTTCTTTCTTTCTTTCTTCCTTCCTTCCTTCCTTCCTTCCTTCCTTCCTTTCCTTCCTCTCTCTCTCACACACAGATGCATGCACACACACACACACACACACACACACACACACACACACTTAAACAATGGCACCCCATTGCCTTAAAATTAAAGACAGACCCCTTAATGTAGATTACTATGTCTGGCATGGTCTAGTCTCTTCCGTCCTTTTCAAATTGTCTCAATTTCTCAATTTTTCATTCTTCTTTAAATTCCTCACACATGCTATACTCCCTCCTGACCCTGAACTTTTCACTATGTCCACTCACAGGGACACCATTCTCCTCAACACCCTCCTTCGTTACCTTTACTGTACTCATACTTCATGTCAACTGTCACTTCCTCAAAGGACAAACCAAATGGGATCAAATACTCTCACACTTAATGTCTGTCTTTGCCACTAGGCTCCATTGCAACATGAGGATAGAGACCATGACTGCATCCAGCACTTAGCACGGTGACTGGTACAGGAGATTTGCTATCATTTTTGTAGAATGATAGAGCGAGAACAAATATTTTGAAATGCGGGGGGAGGAGATTGGGAGAGCTACAGATGTTAGAGATCAGAAGTTCTCCAGAGATGTATAAAAGAGAAGTTGAGAAGACTTTGAGTTTTGTGATGGAAACAGAAGCCAAGTTACCAGGGTGAGGAGTGAGAAGGCAATGAGAAGTGAGAAGAAAGTGAGCTGAGAAGTGGAAAGGCAACAAGCAGGACAATCTTTGAGACATTTGTTTTTATAAGAAAATGCTAGGATAGTATCTTGAGAGAATAACAGGGTCAAATATACTGTTTTTTATTATTATTATTTTATTTTCAGGATGGGGGAACTGTGGAGAACACTGGGAGAGTAAGCATCTTACCAAGTCTGACACTAATAAAAATGGACTGAACCGGTGCTGAAACTCAAGACTTGTGATTAGTATAACTCAGTGTTATTTCCACTATAGGGACACACTCAACTTCAGCATTCTTGGCAGTTTATTACACAGCGATGATGTAGGCTGAGGTAGTTGGGCCAGTTTTCTCTTTCAATTGACACCCTTTTTTTGGGGGGGGAGGGGAGAAAGCTGGAGGAGAGAATAAGATAAGTGAATATACTGTAAAAAGGCATTTTGAGATGAAAAGGAAATAATTTGAAGTAGTTTATTCCACATGACCTAGATCTGTCCTGTAAAATATTAGCTAGTAGTATCTGCTCCGAATGACAGTGTGATTATGTCCCCTGGGCAATTTGATTGTGAGTCAACAATGCGAAGAAACAAAAGACAAAAACAACCACAGACTTCAACCAAGTCAGAAGAACGGGAGAATGTAGATAGTGTAAGAAAAGTCAGGGAGAACATCATAATTCAAGTCAATTTCTTTGGAAAAAATAAATGGAAGCAAACATGAACAAGATGGGACTGGGGGTAGGGTTCAGGAAAAGATCTATCTGCTCAGAACAAGTTCTTACGGGAAGGTCCAAGACACAACTGGAGAAACGAGTTATAGCAGGCCTTACCTATCAGACTAAAGAGTTTAATTTGTATATCCTTAAAGAAGTAAGAAGTATGATGGAGTCTCCTTTTATATAGAGAGAGAAATAGTATTTTTCCTTTGCACTGAAGAGTTTGTTATGATATTGTGAACAGCTACACACAAACATACACACACATACAGCCCACACATGAGAAGTTTGGGAAGGCAACAGGGTCTCCACAGGGTTTCCTTCCTTCCTGTAACTAACTCTTACATATTAGACTTTGCAAATGAGAGAGGGAGGCACAACTTTAGGTCCTCAGGGTATTGCAGACTAATGGTCAACCTGTTCTGGTTCCCGTGAGAACACGAACAATTAGCCAAAATTACAATTCACATTTTTTTTTCCTGGTTTTCTGTTTCACCTTCTGCCAAAATAATATAACAACTACCACAATATTGCCACGCACACAGCCTCCTGAGCCAGCATTAACTTGTAAAATGTATCCAGGCTGAGTCAGTCTGTTACCTGCCACCATGACGGCTGTTGAGGTGGATGGATTCTTCCCTCAGTTTCCTCTGCCAGTTCCCTCAGTCTTTCAGTTTCTTACATTTTGTTTCTTCACAGTATACATTTTCCTAGCTATTTATTCCATCAGTTGATCTTACAAAGTGATGTGTTTTTCCCCAAGGGTAAACTGTCTAGATATATTGCGACCTTCAAGAACATCTTTACAGTCAATTTATTTTAAAGATTGTATATCAGCACATACAAAATCCTTCTTACTGACACAATACCTTCTCATGTGAACTTAGAAAATAGTTGATAAATTTTCATTAATTGTTTTGATTAATTTTCAATCTATCTAAAAAATTATCATTAAAGTTCACAAAATACATCATATTTTATATTAATACCTCTATAGTTTGCCACAATTATTAAGTATAAATAACCAATTTAAGATGGTATAATAGGTATACACAAGGTGGATAGGTTTATAGCTTGTTAAATAAACTTTCCAAATGAGTACTTTATAAAATCCATCAAGGTCACCATCTTGGTCCTGAGATAATGTATGATATTTCTTCCTAATACTTCAAAAATTATTCTAAATGTTCCCCAGTGGGATGGTTTCTCTTGAACATAATTAATGGGTATTTTCAAATAGAGACAAAAGTACAGATAATAGTATAATGGGCCACCAGGAATGTATACCCTAGCTAGGTTTAAGATATAAAAAACATTCACGATTGCTGGCAAGATGGCTGAATAGGAACCGCTCCAGTCTGCAGCTCCTAGATAGGTCGACACAGAAGGAAGGTGATTTCTGCATTTCCAACTGAGGTACCCAGTTCATCTCATTGGTACTGGTTGGACAGTGGGTGCAGCCCACAGAAGGCGAGCCAAAGCAGGGTGGGGTGTCACCTCACCCAGGAAGCACAAGGGGTAGGGGAATTTTCTTCGCAACCCACAAACCAGGAGATCCCCTCCGGTGCCCACCCCACCAGGCCCCTGGGTTTCAAGCAAAAAACTGGGCAGCCATTTGGGCAGACACCGAACTAGCTACAGGAGTTCTTTTTTTCCATACCCCAGGGCACCTTGAACACCAGTGAGACAAAACTCTTCACTCCCCTGGAAAGGGTGCTGAAGCCAAGGAGCCAAGTGGTCTGGCTCGGCAGTTTCCACCCCCACAGAGCCCAGCAAACTAAGATCCACTGGCTTGAAATTCTCGCTGTCAGCACAGCAGCAGTCCGAGATCGACCCGGGACGTTCGAGCTTGGTGGGGGTAGGAGCATCCGTAGTTGCTGAGGCTTGAGTAGGCAGTTTTACACTCACAGTGTAAACAAAGCCACTGAGAATTTCAAACTGGGGGGAGCCCACTGCAGCTCAGCAAGGCTGCTGTGGCCAGACTGCCAGATTTCTCTTCTCTGAGCAGGGCATTTCTGAAAAAAAGGCAGCAGCTCCCATCAAGGACTTAGAGATAAAACTCCCATCTCCCTGGGACAGAGCACCTGGGGAAAGGGGTAACTATGGGTAAAGTTTCAGCAGACTTGAACATCCCTGCCTGACAGATCTGAAGAGTAGTGAACCTCCCAGCACAGCATTCAAACTCTGCTAAGGGTCACACTGTCTCCTCAAGTGGGTCCCTGACCCCTGTATATCCTGACTGGCAGACACCTCCCAGTAGGGGCTGACAGATACCTCATACAGGAGAGCTCTGACTGGCATCTAGCAGGTGCCCCTCTGGGACGAAG